AGAGTTTCACAATCACAACGGCGATTTGGTCTATCTCCGATTTTAGCCTTTTTTTTTTTTTTTTTTTTTTTTTGTAAAACCTTTTTTTTTTTTTTTTGATCAGCAAAATAAAAACCTTTATTGAAAATAAACCAAACAAGAATTAAAGTTTACATCAAAAAAGGGCGGAAAAGCAGACACGCATCATAGCATACTACCCAATCCTAACTAGGTTGGCACTGAGAAGATAGTCCAATCATCTGCAAGCTCAACCACAAAAGGTTGGAGAGAGACCAACCCAAGCAAGAAAAAACAACAAAAAACTAAACCCACAACAGCCAGGACACAGCAGAATCAGCACCAGCAGACTTAGCTACATCAGAAGCACAGCAGCAACCCCAACAGAGGCAAGACATAGCAGCAGTGCTCACAGATGCAAAAACTCAGATGCACAGCCCAGAATACACTTGATAACATAATCTGATCTAAGCATCAGACCAGCATCAACCAACTATATTTGCAGACCTTAGCAAACCAATGCATCTGCTAGCTTAGTAACCAAAACAAACACATCAACAGCAGAGCACTAGCAGGGCATAGCAAACACCATATCAATCATAACAAAATAGACCAACATATCAGACTACTAGACCATCACAGAGCACACCCTCATAACAACAACCATGCTCAGTCCACCCTCAACCATTTACACAGCTTCCAGTGATCACTGCACCCATCTGTATAGCTTAGCTCCCATTCCATCAAAGAGCAGCACCAGCATCCAAATCACACAACAAACAACCGCAGTCGCAGCAAAATACTCCAGCACCAACAGACAGCAAACCAGTAAAAAAAACAACCACTACAACCAGCCAATATGTAGCAGTACCAGCAGCTCTACACCCACCTCACAACAGCACCAGTATATCAAACAAAACCAGAGACAGCAAACAAAACCAACAATATATCAGCACAAAACAGTATGTCAACTAAAACCAGAGCTCCTTATCTGCTGCAAATTGTTTAGAAGATCATGAATTGTGTACTCACACTTGGGAAAGTAAGATTTCGCCCACAAGATAATCCGAACTTCAACTAAATCACACAACTCATCCAGATGGGGCTGAACCCCATTAAATACACTCATTTCTTACCTTCCATAAGGACCACATGAGAGCACAAGGGATAGATTTCCACAACATCCCAATAAATTTCTTGAACTTAAAGCCAGCCCACCAACACAGCAACCCCTCAACTGAACCAGGCACTACCCACTGAAGACCCCACCACTCTACAATATGTGACCATAACCTCCCCACCACTGGGCACCACAACATCACATGATTCAACGACTCCCCTTCAGAATTACAAAGCACACATAAAGTACTAGCATCTGCACTAATCACCCCAATCCTTTGTAAAAAATCAGTTGATTTAATTCTCCCCTTCCAGGCTAGCCATCCAAGAAATTGAGCTTTTGGAGGAGAGACGGTTTTCCAAATAATAGACAGAGCAACTGAGACAACTCCAGCCTCCTGTCTTTTATATACTGAAGCCACACTAAACTGTCCAGAAGGAGAAGCTTTCCATTTCAGGCAATCATCAACATTGGTGAGAACAACCGGAGTAGAATTAAGTTTTGAGATGAGTGCTCCCACCTCAGCCATTTCCCACTCCCTCAGAGATCTTCTAAATTGGAAACACCACTCTACAGAAGCACACCTTTGTACCAACATTTCTCGCAATGAAATATTGCAATTTGAAACCAAACCAAACAATCTAGTAAAAGACTCTTTTAAGCATTGATTATCCAGCCACTTGTCCTCCCAAAACCCAATCCTATTCCCATTTCCAATAACAAATTCCACATTTGAAAAATATAAGTTCCTGAGATTGGGGTTGCAATCAGCTACTCCAAGAATATCACACCAAACCCTTGACAATCTGCCCGAATTCTCCACAAATGGGAACCATCTGCCACCAGACATTGGATACTTGGAACATATTACTCTTTTCCACAAGGCCTTATCTTCATTCGCAAACCTCCACCACCACTTGGAAAGCAAACAATCATTAACATCTCTAAGCCTCTTTACTCCCAACCCTCCATGATCCTTACTTTTAGTAACCTCCTCCCACTTCACCAAATGGATCTTCTGACCTAAATTTGAACCTCCCCACAAAAAAGTAGCCTGAACCTTATCAATCACCTTTGCCACTCCCTCTGGCATTTTAAACAAAGATAGATAAAACAATGGCAAACTTGATAACACAAATTTTATTAAAGTTAATCTTCCACCGAACGATAGCAACCTCCCTTTCCACCCTGCTAACTTAGACTTAAACTTATCAACTACAGGTTTCCAACTTTGCAATCTCCTTGGACTAGCCCCTAATGGCAAGCCTAAGTAAGTAAAAGGTAACTTGCCAGACTTGCAGTGCAGTCTAGCAGCAAAATCCTCAAGAAGCCCCTCTTCCACACCTACCCCGTAAACACAGCTTTTATGGAAATTTATCTTTAGACCAGACATTAATTCAAAGCATCTGAGAACTCTCTTAATAGTGAGCACTTCCATCCAATCTGCCTCACAAAAGATGATGGTATTGTCAGCAAATTGCAAATGAGATATAACCTCTTCACTAGCCCCTACCTTTATAACGCCCTCAAAATAATAACATAAAACCCATCAATAAAGACATGCATTGGTAATAAAGATAAACATTCTTCTATTCATGGGAGTAGTTCCTTACAAAGGTATTACATGTTAACAACAAAAGCAAATGTCCTACGGGCTTACAGCTTTCCAAGTTAACACTTGGTTACAACAAAAGAGTGCTAACTCATTTACACATTAAGCCATTGGCTTGGATTTACATGTAATACATCAAAAAAAAAAAAATATGAGACAAAAAAAGTGTGTCCGCCTCTAGCCTCCCAAGCTACGTCCTTGGAGGTGGCATGCTACCTGTACCTAAAAATGATATTCCCATATAAGGTGAGCCACAGCCCAGTAGAAATATACTAAACCAAATATGAACAATGACTAAAAGCTTAGCAGTTGATAGATGGCCAACACAGATACTTTCCCTTATCACACTTTACATTTTCATGACATACAAGTCCACATTACCATTCATTTTCCAATTCCTTTCAACTCTCAATTTATAATCATGGCTCAGAACCTGGCCAAACAACTCATATGAGACAATAACTCATATTAAACACTTCCCATTTCATAATAGATAAGCATACTAGCTATATCACACACCAACAGATAAGCATACAAGCTATATCATCACTTCCACAGATATGCATATGAGCACTATCACACTTCCAATGACAAGCATATGAGCTCTGTCAACACATTACTAGATAAGCATATGAGCTCTATCTACGGAGTCCATCCCCTATCTCCTCCCAACAACATCCGGTTTAGAGGTCCATCCCCTATCTTCCCCTAAACCATGGAGTACATCCCCTATCTCCTCCAACACAACACAATGCATATAAACAACAATTATACACATCATCACACAATACATAAATTTAATGTATTCTTTCAACCGTCATACTCAACGACACATTCCAGTGATTAGTTTCAGTTTGCCTAATTATCATGCATTGTCTACAACAATCACGACTATCCTCCACCGATAGCCCAAAGCAGTTATTTCTATACAAGAATAAATGCAACAATGGATATATAATCAACATTTCAACTAGGGGAGCGATAAATAATCCAACTACACCCTTTAACCGTTTCCCTTTCCAATTTCCACATTCTCAATTCAATTCCTCATTTCCAACAATTAATTATACAAATTAATCAATCAATGTAATTAGGGCATTTTCCATAATCTACATTACAACCCTTAAGTTTCATTTTCATTAATGTCTTCACATTAATTTCACATTTTTCCATGCCAAACATACATCTAGGTTTGAGATAGTTAAAACCCCAACTCTTGTAAATTTACACAAAAGCCCCCAAACTTTCACAAAATTACCAAACAAACCCCAACATCTCAAAATACTAAAATCTAAAGACAAAATCCATAGAGAGGAGTAGGATATCCCTAACTCAAATTCGGAGCCCCAAGGGAGAAGATGACAAAACCCAACGTGCTCCAAAACCCGAGATTTTCAGATTAAAATGAAGCCCTCGACGATCAACAACTTTTTTAGGTATTTACCAAAGAAATGGGAAGTAAAGGTCACGGCCATTATAGAAGCCAAAAATTTCTCTACACTTGGATTGGATGAGCTTATGGGTTTCCTTATGACTCATGAGATCACTATGAAAGGATCTGAGGATGTTGAAAATAAAAAGAAAAGAATACCACGCTCGAGCGTCCAACACTGCACAGGAAATACTGGATGGGTGCAATTCCCGCTCGAGCGCCAAAACCCCCGCTCGAGCGGACAGGTCAAAATCTGGGCAACTAGTTTTGGTTTCTAAACTCAACCAACCTGTAACAAACCTGCCCAACACATCCTAAAATACAAAGTAAGAAAGGATGTACACAAGGTAATAATCAACTACTATCATCCACGGACACATGTCCGGATCACTGTACAACAAGGGTAAACCCAGGATCGCTATAACCTTTACCCCTCGAATCAGTCCCAAGTTCTTAGCTCTAGTGAGCATAACATTAAGCCCTTCTACAACAATATTAAAAAGAAAAGGTGAAAGGGGATCACCTTGTCTAAGTCCCTTTTCCGGACAAAATTTTGTAGTTGGAGACCCATTAACTAGGACTGAAACATGGGCTGTAGTAACACACTCCTGCATTGAACCAACCCATTTCCTTCCAAAGCCAAAGTTTCCAAGCATTGAGAGTAAGAAATTCCAATTGACCGAATCATACGCTTTTTCAATATCCAACTTAAGCATCACCCCTTTCTTATGAGATCTCTTCCACCAGTCCACAACTTCATTTGCAATCAACACCCCATCAAAAATATTCCTCCCCTTCAAAAAAGCTGATTGTGCCTCACTAACCACCCTCGATGTAACCTACTTGAATCTGTGAACAAGAACTTTAGATAAGATCTTGTAAACTGCCCCAATAAGACTTATTGGACGAAAATCAGCAAGGCCCGATGGACAATCTTTTTTTGGAACCAAAGTAACAAAAGAACTAGCAAGACACTTAGCCAATCTGCCATTACAATGGAAGTCATTGAAAAATTGAACCATCTCCACCTTAAACACCTTCCAACATGCCCAGGGGCCTTATTCCCATCAATCTCCTTAACAGCTGCCCAAATTTCAGATTCTGAGAAGGCAGCTTCCAACTCAACCTTTTCATTACTTCCAATTGATTTGAAGACTCCTCCAAGCTTAGGCCTGACCTTCCAAGATTCCAAGAATAATCCTCGGAAATGTCTATAAACTTCTTCCTAAATAATCATCGGATCTTCGATCAAAATTCCATTAACCAGCAATGAATTTAACGAATTCTTACTTTGCCGACAAGATGCGATGGAATGAAAGAACTTAGTGTCCTTATCCCCGTTCAATATCCATGACAATCGCGACTTTTGAAGCCACATCCATTCTTTTTTCTTACTCCACTTTAGCACTTCCCCTCTAAGTTCCTGTCTTCTTTCTACCTCACCATCATCAAGATCTCTAATTTCAGCAACCAGGTCCAGCTCATGTAATTCATCCTCAGAGGCTTTAAGCTTATAATTAACATCACCAAACACTTCCATATTCCATTGTTTCAAGGATGCCTTGACTGCTTTTAACTTGGCAAAAACTTTATACCCAGCCCAACCTGATACTACTGTGGCCTCCCAGGCTATCTTTACAACAGAAATAAACTGAGGATGTAAAACCCAAGCGTTAATGAACCTAAACGGTCATGGCCCCCAATCTCTTGTATCCTCCATTAGAACCACTGGGCAATGATCAGAGACTCTTCTAGACAACCCCCAAACTTTGAATTTGAACATTAACAGCCACTCAGGAGACAAAAGAAACCTATCAATTTTACTCCACTTTTCCCCCTCTGTATCATTACACCAGGTATACTTCCTTCCAAGCATATCCAATTCAACAACCTCCATCCGATCAATGAAATCATTGAAATGCTTCATACCCCTCTCCCTTCTAGAACATCCTTTCCTCTCTCCAATATTCTTAATCTCGTTAAAATCTCCCCCTAAACACCAAGGAACATTGAAACTGGCCTTTAACCTTGTAATAGACTCCCATACTAACTCTCTCCTAGAAACCTCATTTGGTGCATATACATTTATCATCACACACAAAAAAGATAGAGCAACAGTACCTGACAACAAAATAAAATTACGGTTGCAACAATACCTAGACAATGCAAAAACTGATGGCTTCCATATACACAGCAGACCACCAGATAATCTATCCGAATCCACCACCACAAAATCCATCTCCTCCCCTGGCCATAATGGCCGCACTACTACCTCCGAAATTTCTGCTCTCTTTGTTTCCTAAAAAAACACCACATCCACTCTCCTTTCTTTAAGCACCTCTTTTATCTTCCGGCGCTTCCCAGCCTTGCCAAGCCCTCTAATATTCCATGTGAGCAAAATCATTGGAAACAATCTAACTCCCAAAATCTCCAACTTCAGGTGTTTAGGGCCGATCCACCCCCACCCCCTGAAGAGTCCGATCTGCATCCTTCTTCTCCAACTCCACACATTTAAGTAATAAGTCCTCTTCACAGCCCTAGCACTGCATACCCAGTGCTTTACCAACCTGAATAGTCGCTTGCGCCTCCCTACGCAGTACACATCCGTGATTCTGAGATCGGCTACCTGATAAGGATGAAAACAGTGCTACCATTACTGCTCTACACACCGCTCCTCTATTCTAGCTGTCCAGAGGAATTGGTCCCTCTTTTCTTGCCAAACCAGCACCTCTTGCCCATCTACGAATCCATCTTGAATCAGCCATTGACAATCTCTTCCTTCCCCTTACCCTTCTCTCCTTTTCCTGCCCGAGTCCCTCCCAGCCCCCACAGTACCCACAATACTAGCGGGTGTTTGGAAGAAAAAAATAGTCACTAAAATTCACAAAAAAAAAAAACAAAATAGCTTAAAATAGTTAATAAAATAAAATATCATATTAAACTCATAATTATTTTATTTTTTTTCTCACAATATCACATCCAATCACAAAAAAATCCAATTATCTTCCCAAATACAAACATTTTAGCCTACTAAAATAGCCAAAAACTAAAATAGCCTACTAAAATAACCACTTCCCAAACGTGGCCTAGATGTTGGACCTAACCGAAGTCCACCATGATTTTGGGCTTCAACACTTTTATGACCCAACACACTCCCTTCTCCAAAATTGGAAATAATGGGCCTGTCTCATGGCCCACCCACATGGGCCTCTTCAACATTTACCACTAAATGAATTCCTGGCCTATCCGCCACTGTGCCACTAAGACTTTTCAAAACACCTGGATTGATAACATCATTTTCAATAGCCTGCTTCTGGCCATTAATAATTAGATATGGGAATACAAACTCAGCAGCCCCATTCATACTCGAGACCTGCACTCCAGCTGCCTCTTCATTACTATTTCCCATAACATTGTTGGTCTCCTCCACCACTGTGCCTACCTCATTCCACGTACCAGTGACTTTAGCCAATTGAATGTTAGCCACCTCCTCAGAATCTGCTGACTCAACAACACACCTGGTCTGTCTTGCTTCCAGATCATCACCATCTATCATTCTGCTGATGTTCTGTGCTGGTTCACCTTCCCCCATGCCCCGGCCTCCATCCTTAACCACCACTTTGCACCACACCTTCGTTGGTTCACCCTTCTCATGGCCTATGCAATCGGCAATGGACTCCAGGCTACCACCCACATTTGAACAACAACCATCCAAACACCTTGAAGAACTGACGTTGCTGATAGTGGCCTTATCAACTGTTTGTTCTTCACACACCAAAACTGGATAACTACTGCCTTTACATTCAAGAATAATGGTGGTGTCAATATACTCCATACTCTTTGTAGCCACACAGACCCTCCCATAACAAAATGAAGTGGGTTGACAACAATCTCTTGTATCCTCCATTAGAACCACTGGGCAATGATTAGAGACTCTTCTAGGCAACCCCCAAACTTTGAATTTGAATGTTAGCCACCTCTTCCGAATCTGCTGACTCAACAACACACCTGGTCTGCCTTGCTTCCAGATCATCACCATCTATCATTCTGCTGATGTTCTGTGCTGGTTTACTTTCCACCATGCCCCGGCCTCCATCCTTAACCACCACTTTGCTCCACACCTTCGTTGGTTCACCCTTCTCATGGCCTATGCAATCGGCAATGGACTCCAGGCTACCACCCACATTTGAACAACAACCATCCAAACACCTTGAAGAACTGACGTTGCTGATAGTGGCCTTATCAACTGTTTGTTCTTCACACACCAAAACTGGATAACTACTGCCTTTACATTCAAGAATAATGGTGGTGTCAATATACTCCATACTCTTTGTAGCCACACAGACCCTCCCATAACAAAATGAAGTGGGTTGACAAATATCCTCCTCCAACCCGATAACATTCCCCTATATGGTCCCGATTCGATTAAAGGTGTATCTGTTCCACACATTCAAAGGAACACCAAAGCACCTAAGCCAGACACACCTCTCTTGCTGAATATGCAGACCTGGTTCCCAGACCACAATCCACTCACACCATTCATCAAAACATTCCTTAATAAGTCCAAAACTTACCTTCACGATATCTTGAGACTTGAAGGTTAACACAACATCCCTTCCTCCACCATGCCTTGCCATTATCTGGCCTAGACCTTTTTCATTCAACACCTTCTGAATGCTATGGATTGAAACCTCAATCTTCAATCTCATAATCACACTTTCAAGCAACCACCCATGTCCATCTTCATTCACAGGGATGGTCATACTGGTCTTCTCCGCAGCCATGCCTTGCAATGCCTCCACAAACGATCGTTTCCCGAGTTCTGAACCTCTGCCATTAATCCTCTGATCACCAGACTGTGGTCTCCTCAACAACTCCACCTTTTTGCTTCTATCATAATCAGCAAACTTCACTTGTAAACTCCTATCATCAACCCACAAACCATTGGCTTATTGCAATATTCGCTGCAACTTGACAATCGAATCTAACAAATCCAAACCGTGACTTTGTTACCTTCCTCCTTTTGAAGGGAATGAACACATCCTTGACAACTCTAAACTTCATAAACAGTTTAAACGAAGCTTTTGCATCCATTGAAGACAGTAGATTATCCACGAATACATTGAATAACCCATTACTAATCCTCCCATTGTTATGTGCTCCACCACTCTTCCTCTGATGGATCACTGGAATCCAGTGGCCATCCTGACACTCTCCCATCTCTTTCCTTCACGAGATCTGGTGGTCTAAAAATCTCCGATTTTAGCCTTAATGCCTAACTTCATTGACCATGAGAAGCTCTCCTAAATTATCTCCGTGGTTTTATGGGAGTCATCAAATTTTAGAGTACATGGAATTAGTTGCTTATAAATTTATTATGCCTCCAGATTAAAAACATCCACCCTATTTTTCATGTCTCGTGGCTGATGAAAGAGTTTGGTTCCAGGGTGACTATAGCACACCCTTTACCTGAAATGACTAATGAATGGATCACTCAAGTTTAATACTGGAATATCATCTAATTGTCTACTAAAGCATGGAATGCAGGCTGTGACTGAAGTTTTAGTACGAAGGGCTCATAGTCAACCTGAAGATGCTACTTGGGATATGATTATCTGCTGAAGTGCTTTCTAGACTTCAACCCTTAGTCACAAGGGTTATTCAAATGCAGTGAAATGTTGTGGCCCTTCGATTAGTGCACTAAATTAGCATATATAATGATTGTAATTTTAGCACATGGGATATTCTTCCATTGAGCAAATTTGGGGGATTGAGATTCATTATGAGCTGATTGGCTCTGTTTGGGGAGAGTCTTACCTAAGTTTGAACACATTTTGTTAAGTTTTCCATTCAAACTTGAACAACCTGATATTTGATTCAACTCAGCTCGTGTACAACCCAATATAAACCCGAACAGCAATTCTTGGCAACTGAAATTCTATTTGGAATCTATATGTATCTTCTCCATTTCAGATACATGCACATCTTATTATGTGTTTGAACCATTAGATAAAAGTTGTACAACAAACCAAGGCTGGTTTGAGATCAACTGCTATGTTATAGAAACCCTCAAAAGGCAGAAAAATCCACAAAATTAAGTGTTTGGTTTTAGTTTTATGAAAATTGAGTTTTTTGTTTATCGTATTTTTTGTTTTTAGTGAATATTTTTTTAAATTTGAAGTAATTTTTTTACTTTTTAAGATGTACCTTACATAGATGTATCTAAATAGTAAAATATTTGTGAAAAAATATTTTAAAAAATTATTAAATACACAAAAATACAAAAAATGTACTGAATTTTCACACACATATATATATATATATATATATTTTTGTATTTTTTGATATTTAGTGTATTTTTTAAAGATTTTTTTCACAAATATTATACTTTTTAAGTTTATATATGTTAGGTATGTCTAAAAAAAATTACTTAAAATATTAAAAAAAAAATTCAATAAAAACATTAAAATGCAAAAAATAAAAAATAAAAAGTAGAATTTCCTAAAAACTAGAACCAAACAAGCTCGTTTCTTGTAACTGACAACTGGTGAACAATCCTACATGTAAAGACACAGATCACATATAGTGAGGGTATATCCAGACATACTAGAGTAATAATACAAAAACAATCACTTCAAATCATGATTAAAAAAAAAATTAATTCAAATCAGATCATGTGATAAAATATACTAAATCAGAAGGAACCCAGATGAAATGAGAAAACTTATGAAAACCTGTACTGCAGCAAATGAAGCCATGGCAACTTTGGCCAAACCTCCCATGAAAGAAGGCTCATCGTCAGTTTCTGTCACTGAAGAAGAAGACATAGCATACATATCCCGAGACGAAGATGGCTTGTTGAATTTGTGTGACTGATCAAATCCACCACTATAATCATACTTGACTTTTCCTCTCTGAAAACTGTCTTCTGATTTGATTGAGAGATTGGAAAATTTGGACACAATTGAAGACTTGAGCCTCTTCTCCTCTTCTGCTAACTCCCTAACAGCTGTTTCAACACTCGGAAGAAAGGATCTACACAGTATAGACTTTCTAATCGGCTCAAATTCGTCTCGGAGAGCAATAAGAAACTGCACAAGGCGTTGTTCATCACGATGTTCCTTGTAACTGCTTCGCATACTCAAGTCTCTATTCTCCAGCTTGGCCAGTTGATCCCACAAACCAACCATAACATCATGAAACTCTTGTATTGTTCTATCCCCCTGTTTTGTTTCTCTG